AAAAAACAATTATGTACAAAATTAAACATAAACAAACAAGAATGTACAAAATACAATTTAACAACATAAAATAAGATTCACATGGATACCAACCAGAAAATATTAACCCAAACAAAACCTACGCGCGGCTAAGTGAAACCGAACCAATAACTACGCTGAATTATAAATATACACATATTCTTTGAGTAAACGTAGCAACCCCAACAGTGACCTAATGACAAAAACAAACTTTCAATGATGCACAAACGAATGACGTCAGAAGAACAAAATAACCCATAACAACAAATTCGATTCAAAAATGATTTCGATTCAAAAATGATATCATAAGCCCCTAAACACACTATATATAAATAAAATGATTGAGACAAAATAGAGAACTAACCCTTTTCAAATCATCTGCTCCCTCCATACTCCTCGACCACGAACACATCCGAATTTACCATCAAGATTTTTCCATTCACATTCTTGGATGCACTTCAAATTGAACAGGCCACTCTGCGCCAATTGCTCCGTGATTTTCTCGCAGATGTCCGTAAACTTTTGACTGTTGATCACTCTAGAATTAACATCTTATCATTATAAGATAAAGGCAAAATCAAGCCCACTTACAGTAAAACCGCATAGCCAGCAGAAGTGAATCTTGCACATCAAGCACTCCATATGAAAACAACCTTCGCCTTTTTCAATGATGGCACCACAGCCTTCGTTAGGACATGTTTTTACTTTCCCATCATTTTTGCTAATATATACCATCAAAGATGCGTCAGCGTCACCTATAAATAAAATGCTTAGAAAATAATTGACAAAAAACAATGAAAATAATGTCCATCTCAAGCTTACTTCTGAGTTTGGCGTATTCCTCACACGTCAGATTTTCATGTGGTTCCAACAAGCAGCCTGTGCACCTCTCCTTTTTACACGATTCGCATTGGAATACACCGCGCTTTCCAGTAATCTGAAAGATGATAGATGAATGAAGCCTCTTCATTAGATTCAATATTTACTGACATCACAAACGCCGAAGCAGTCAGGGGTTGGGCATCGCGTCAGGCCTGGATGTTCGCGAATAATGCAGTCAAGGCTGCTGTCAACCAAGGGTCGCAGTTTCTCAGAATTTAGCCACGGAAGCCGTTCTTCGCCAAGAATAAGTTCCTTAACACGAAACTTGAGGGTAACATATCGTTAATAAACTTAAAGGCAGTGTCCACACAGATTTCGAGCTCCTCAGTTCCAAAAGTTTACTGAAACGAGCTCCTCATGCAAACCATAGCCCGGTTTC